GTATTGAAGTGCATTTTCGTATGAAAATGATTCAAATTAACATCTAATGTTTAAATCGTTTAATTCCGTTTTCAAAACGAACTGTCTTGATCAATACCAGGAGATAAGTGAAATTTTCTTTCAATAAGCCAGAGAATATTACACGTGGTTATAGATTAGCCGATCCATTTGTGATGCATCTCAAGCGGAAATCATGACAGGAACTCTTTCGCTGATGCTACAGCTGACCTAGACTTTCTGGCGAACTTTATTATCGTGCGAAGCTTTATCATCGACCAGACTTAATCCTCGAGAATGAGTGGCATACCGGAAAACACGTCAGACCGGCGCACGTGATAAGAAAGCATTTCCGGCCGAAATTTCCTCGAAGATCGCTTCACCGTTTGCACGAGTGGAAAATATACACGACACGTGAAATTTTGTACGGTATTACACCTCTTTGACGATAGATTTCCAACTTTTTCACTCGATAAATTCGATCTTTTGCATTTCTTTTCGCACGAGCGAAGAAACTTTTACACCGGAGACTTCTCGATCGTGAGAAATTATGGCAGTACCATTGACAAAATGTTTTCGATTAAATGCACGCATTAAAAAGAATTCAGAAAGAATTGAAATCGAACTGGAAACATTAATTTTATTTTCCCATGTACTTCAAACAAATAGTATTTCATGCTTTGCAATAGTATTACAATATTGTACTTGCAATAGTATTTCATATTTTAAAAGTTACTGCACTTTCGAATTACTGTATATTATCGAAAATTGCTTAATGTTTCCTGTTTTGCATTTGCCAAAATTTGCACAGCTGTATTTTGTCTCGTTCATTCTGAACTGCAATCGAAGCGGGACGTACGTTCCCTTGGAAATTCTCCACGTCAAAATTCTCTCTCACCGAGAGAGAAGCTCTGTTCGTCGAACGATCGATAAGAATCGAGTTTTAAATTACGAGTGGCTTAACTCGGAATAGCACTGGAATCGAGACGAAATCCGATGCTTTCTGAATTCCTCAAATGAGAATATAGCAAGGGAGCTAGTCTAGTCGTTCATCATTCCACCATTTCTCCTCCTCCTCGCGCAACGAACGAACGAAGCACACTCCATGTCCAAAATCGTAAATCGTCGACAGCCCTGCAGGTCCTTCCAGCGTTTTGAACTGCAGAACAAAATCCCAAGTAAACGCGGTCGATCGCGATCGAACGTGAACGCGTTGAATCGCATCGCGAAGCTTGCTTCGAGATACGGCAAGCCAAAGGATAGTTCACATCTCTGACAAGAAATTCGAAATTTGTATTAATTTTATTGTATTTCGTAGAAACACAATTGTTTAAATTGATTTATCGTATAAATATTGCCTCTCGAGAGCCATAATCTTTGCATTTTCGTTCGTTTGTTTTGTAATTGTAGAAACACTTGATACCTCTCAAGGGTCTTAGTGATCAACTGCACGTTCACCGTTTTCAAGATTTTTAAGGATTTTACACAGATGCAAACAGATTTAAACGAGTGATTCCATTAATTTAATTAAAGGTCTTTAACTTTGGCCAGTGTGTGAAACATAATAACTGCTCTCCAGTTAAACGACGTTAAAACGAAATTAATTCTCCATAAAAAGAAAACTGTACGACAGGTTCGAGAAGGATTTAATTTCAAAAGTTCTTCATTTGGGAGGAGCTTGATTAAAATGCAGAAGGCGAGTCACTTGAATTAATACGGATCTACATTAATTGTACATGTCGTGAAACATAAATGCACATAATAACGATTAATATATTCTACCTGGAGAAGGTAATTCAATTATTTAATAATTAATGTGACAATGTCAAAGTGCATTAAGCGTCTTAACGTAGTTTTGGAGCACATCTTTTTGGGTTAGGTTTGCAACAGGAGAGGCGAGCAAAAGCGATCATCGTTCAGGAGGATTAAAAGAGAATTGATCTATCTTCTTGCCGGAATATCAAGCTCCGTCTCTTGTTATCGCGTGAAACGCTACTCCTAATTCTCTACTATTTTCGCGAATGCTAACACGATTGTTTTTGCTTTCACAAAAGTCACGAAGTTTTTTTCCGAAATTCTTGTCTCTACGGTTAACGATTCTCCAGCGCATCTATTCTGTCTGGCAGAAACTATCGACTGCAACTCTAAAGCTCTATTTTCTCCCGTCTGGAACAAAGATGGCACTGATAGGAAACAATCTGACACAATGGCCGAGCAGTCGATACGATTTTTAGTCCCTTCTTTCGTTCCGCTTAAAGAGCATCGGGGGATCCTAAACTTTTATAAATATCGCAAGTTCAGCGAACGAAATTATCCTCGATCTAGATCCTCCGATTTCGTTCAAGTTATCTTTCGTTTGCTCGTAGGAAAAGTGGAACGAGGAGGTCGCCTCGGATTAAACTCGAAATTCGGTAATTAATTTTTCTGTATCGTCACCGATGAAAAAAATTTATTCGATCTTCAAACGAACGTTCTTGAATTTAGATCGAGATGTTATCAAATAACGAGACTACTAGGTTAGGAGATAGGAAATGTTTAAAGGAAAGAGACTGCTCGAGCGAACGTTTTCATTATAACGTGTAATCAAGAAGAATTTCCTCCCCCCTCCCCTTCGTTTACTTTCCCTCGTTAATTTCGTTATCAGTGCAAATCACGCGTCTCTTCCCGATCTCCCTGCGAACTTTTCTCATTTTCGTTTCCCGTTCACCTTTTAAATTGGGAATGTAATAAAGAACGGGACGCGTTAATGGTGATTGTATTTGCTGACTTCTGATGGTCCTCGAGGCAATAAACTGAAATATTTGTGAAATAATAATTACTATCTTCTTTGTATAAAATAGCAAAACATCCTTCAGTAAGATTATTTTTAGTGAGATTAGCAAAAATCATTTGCAATTTCTATCTTTTCTTTCCTAAATGGTTCTTTTTCTTAGTTTTTTTTTTTTTTTTTTTTTTTATGTTTTGAAGTTATTTTTTATTTGAGAAACATAAATCATAAAAAGGAAAAAAGGAAAAAAGGAGAGAAGTTTGCTCTTGGAATTAAGATACATTCTTTCTGAATATGTCAAAAATATATCGACTATCGTAATGTTATTTAGACTAGGCGAATCTATATTTATTCTCAAAGGACTCACAATTTCAAAATCTAAGAGTTTAATCCTTAAATTTAGGATTTCGAAATGTAACAAATCACAACTGGACTGCAGAGTTTTCTGCAATTGGAGCATATAAAATATCTAAACAGATATTATACATAAATATAAAATACATGTAAAATAGTATAGATGTCAAATAGTTTATAAAATATATGTAGGACTCTATTTCGTTAATTGCAGTTTCTAAAAATTAAAAAACACATGAAAATCCGCAGTCTAATCATAGCAGTTTTATCACGTTGTTCCCGTGTGACCTTCGTTTTATTTTCGACACGATTCGAAACAAGGGAAAAGCCAGTGTCTTATTCCGTTCTCGCATCAGACACTTTGGTTTTCACGAGCGATACAGACTTTCAGGATGCCACGATTTTTTTCACCCCTTGACGCTCGCCTACTCTATAGAGTTTCCACGTTATGCAGGGATTAGGATCGCTAAATTCCGACGTGGTGGTGGTAGTGGCGGCGATAAAAATGGGTCAGAGTGCTTTTACCCTTGCTTATAGGGATTAAAGGACACATCTGGTACACCATCGCCTTATCATTGACCTTTCGCAATTTTATCTAACGAGAATTCTTCGTTCATTAAAGGAATGTTCGAAATGTTCATTTATTCCATCCAGAGAGAAAATGAATTAAAACTGCAAACCTGGCGAAGGTTTCCAGAAGAACTTCGGTCTATGTTAAAACATACTGAAGCAACAGATAATAATGTTATTAAATATTAAAATTTACAATCATCGAAATGCAAATTTGCATAAGCATTCGTACAGTAATAAAGAATTAAAGAAAAAATATCTATATAGAATAACTTTCGAGGATTCGATTAATTATATTAGTCGATTATAATGTATAATATGGTGTCGGTAATATATAATGTTGGTAATCATTTTTTTAATTACTCTGGAGATACGATTGTCACGCGTCGGAGAATTAGAGGATAGTCAAATGACAAAAAATCGGCGTAAAAAATTCTACGAAGTTAATGACGAGCGCCAGACATAAAAAACAAGTGACCTGAAAACTTTTGGTTTGATGGATTCGCCCTTTTCACCGAGATCACGCTTTGCCCCAGCTTTTCGCAGCTTATTTAACGAGGGAAAGGACAAGACGCCTCAATATTTACGAGGTGGTTTATTTTTACTGAATGTGATAAAAATATCATGAAAGAAGTCCTTTCGCGTTTCACTAAGATTTCTAAATGTTTAAAAATTTGCAAATTTTAATACTTCTTACTAGTCGTACAAATTTATCAACATAAATACTTTAAAATTTATTACAATTTACAAGCGTGAAGATTTTTTTAAAATGTAGAACATATTTTTTTTCTCTGTTTAAACATACGGTGGCCTCGAATGGAAAAATTGTCGATTTTTCAAATCGTTATAATTCTGTAAGGAAAAATTGCACAACAATCTACGATTCAATCACTTTTATTTCAAAACTTCAGGAGCTTCAATTTGCACAGTACACGATAATCGGTGTTTCTCGAAGATTTTGAAAAAAGAAACAAGCAAAAGTATAGAAAAGAAGAATTTTAAGATCGAAAAATCTAGAAGACCGAAACTTTCCCTTTACAACTTCTTCCTTAAAATTTCTCATGCAATTTCTTTTCACGAAGTCACACGAATTACAAGCGACGACGTTTCGTCGAACATTTTCTAAAGTCTTTATAGATCTTGATACGCAATAAACTACTAACAAAAGTACAAGGAGGAAAAATCGGGTTACGAGCACATCTCCACCATAATTCCTTTCACGAACTAGACGTGTACGGTATAGTAGGTATAAGCAGGCACATAATTAGTGTCTACGATGACCTAGCCAGGATGCGGCACACCTATGTACGATCCACGTCCATCACGATGTATTCATGCTAGTATTATAGTTTATCCATAGTAGTATATCCATAGCGACGTGTGTTCAGTTCCCACGTTCATGGTGAAGTGTACCATATTCCCTATGATTCTGGAACACCGGCGCCAGTGTCGTAAATCACAGTGTCATAAATCCCGTGTCGTACGAGTTACGGAAAACTAAGAGTTACGGTCTAATCGCCGTAGCCAACGATCTCATTCACACGGAAGACAATTCAAAGAGGCTACGTGAATAATTCCACCATCGAGTTTAAGTTTTATTAACATTCTTACGGTTCTTTAGTCGTGTCTAACGTCGAGAAAGGTGGGAAGTGGGGGCAGGGAGAGATTCAACAGGATCGACCAGAATTCAGGATCAAAGCTAATGCATTCTGTTACTTGCCGGGCCACGCTTTGCGGTTTTGATTGAATTTTACGGAAACACGCCGCGACAGAGGGAATGGAACACGTCTTTCGAGACTATTACCGACACCGTTGAATAAAGATTCGGGTTATGTCCGTTTATTAATCGACTGAACCACTCTGCACTGGTAAAAATTTATCGAAATGTACAGGGTGGAAAGGAAAGTTTGTCCGTGGCTATCGTAGATGAATTCTACACCTTCGATTTGATAGAAATACACCAGGTAAAGAACCTGCCGCAAAATTGATCTTGACTTTGAATTTCAAGTATCAATTGACAGTCGAGAATTATCGATAATTTAAACTAATGTTGAACAAACCATACGTTTTTTTTTTTTCAATATGTAATAAATTTTAGAAAAACCCGAACGAATATCTAGTATTAAGCCATACTTAAGTAACACTGTAAATCTTCATCGCCACTTTCAAGTAACAAAGAAAACAAGGAGAAAGACACGCGTGTAATGTGAAGTTACAAACGGAGCGAAGATTACGATCAGTTTACGCGGGACAAACAAGCAACGGGACTGGTTTTATCGATGGTGGTGCAGTGGTGAACTGTCCTCGTAAAGGTTGCAATGGCCTCCGCTGAAAAATCGGCGGGATTCAGTGGAAATTAATAGAAAAACGCGGAGCTAGGCAGTGAGCATGATCTTGGCGCCAGAGAGGATGAGACTACGTGGGGGATGCACGCCAACAAACATGAACCAGTTACTTAGATCTAACTTCACCCCGTTCGTCAATTGGCAACTGGCCAACGATACGTGCCGCATGTGGCTGCCACCAATCTACCGTGGTTATCTTTGGAGATTTTTTGTAATAATGTGTTGAAACTGAACTTCCTGAAACCACGCAAACGTTGGAGATTTGCTTTTTATTATTTTGAGGATATTTCACTTTATATACAAATAAATAATATAACATGCAAATAAAAGCTTTTGTTCTTTATTGTATTGTACACTTTTCTTTTCTATTGAACTTAAATTTCATTGATATACAACAAGTTTAATATTATACTTTAGGACTGTACGATCCATTGATTTTATTAGAGTACCAAATAGCCAGATTCAGATTCATTTGGAAAATAATTGTATTTTGCAATTAAATATTTGATATCTATTAAATAAAAATCCTTAAAGAAGGTAAATCTCTGGCAATGGTCAGAAACAGGGTTAATAAATTTTTGCACTCTGTGCAGAGGAATATCCCAAAATGCTGACTGCGTTTAGTTTACTATCAATTAATCGTCCATTCAACTCACAAACATGCAAATTTTCTATAAATTACCTATAAATGCACAAACAATTCCACTGAACACTTTCAACATTCACTTCGGATGAAAAACAATCCTCCTCCGCTATGGATGAATCATTCGCGACGCAGGTCCAAAGTGTACAGTCTAAATTGGCTTTTATTCCTGTCGCGGATTTGCTGGCATGTCCCGTTAAAAAGAACGAACCGTCCCGGGGACTTCGAATCCAATAAGCCGCGTCGAGGAATCGAGTATCGAGTTATGAGAACGCCTGTGTAAACGTTCGCGATACGCGGGATACGTGGGATTGTTTGTTTGTCCTATCACGAGCAGCTTAGAGCACGTCCTATTTCTTGGCAACTCCGGCAACTCCAACGAAATGAAGCGAAGTCAATATTCGCCAGCGATAAATCCCCGCTGCCTATTTATACGGCTCGTCGAACTGCACGGTGCGTTATGTACCCAGTATTATGAATCTGCGGGCATTAGGGGTACGTATCTAACGATGGAACCGGGTGCAACGCGCTGTTCGCGATATCATACCTAAATGAAATTGGTATTGAGGCAGTTTGTGTATTGAGAAGAATGTACAAAGATGCGTGGCTATTACGTTGGCGCAAAAGTAGATTGAATAACGTAATGAAATCTTCAAAATTATCGACGGTCTTTAATTCTCATCGTTTATAAAGCGGTTTTTAAATAGGACACGATTTATGCACGTTACGTAAGTATTGGAATAGTTTGACAAAATAATAATCTTGCAAGTCTGTCAAAGTTATGGAATTGATGATTAATTTAAATTATTAATAATCGTAAATTATTATAGAAAAGTAGTATATCCTACTATTTTTACTATGTATATTAATAATATATTATTATTAATATATATAATAATATAACAATATATTAATAATATATTATTATTAATATACATAGTCTATAAACAGTAAGATATACTACTTTTTTATTTATAATATACATAATGGTTCTCATTCTTCTTTCAAGATTCAAACAATGAATATTCAAACGTTTCGATCGACTTTTTTAAGATAAAAAAAAGTCACTAAATCTCTAGGAACTTACCATTATTAATTACAAATTGGATATCTATTCTGTTAGTTTTAATGACAATTCAGATATTATGAAATAAATTGAATCGTGAATAACAAATTGTTGTAAAAGCATCAGTTTCCCTCCTTCATCGTGAATGAATCATTCGCGACGCAAAAACGGACCAAAGTATAAACGTGCGAGCTCGTCTTAACACGTGAGGGGAGATTACGAAAGAGTTTAAACAGCGCGAAACATTAATCTTCGTTTCGTGAGACGTTTAAGTTGTTTGACTTTGTTAATTGGCGCGCGTTTGTTCTACAGGGCGTACGTTTACTGTACGTTTACTGAACCTTTCGCGAAAAATACGCGAGAGAGACTTACTTCGTTGGATTATTCTATAGCAATTAGCTACTCTCTGCCAGTAGAGGGTTTTTCACTGTCTTTCCCTTGTGTCTTACGTTAATGACGATGGTTTACTGCAAATGAAGATACTTGTGCGCTGTCTTAGTCTCACGTGTTTCGATTACCTTAGGTATTACTATTCACATCGTATTTCGAAGAATTTTTGTCAAGTTTCCTAGGGAATTTCGTAAATACTTCCAATTTTTGAGCATATGTTTTCACTCATAGAGTCTGCTGGCAAAGTTATGCCGGAAAAAAATAGAATCACCCTGTATGTACACATATATCGCTGTCATAAGGCTTCTTCTGAAACGACTAAACTGACAAGCCCTGCTTCGTAATAACGTTAGTCACCCGTCATAATTATGGACGGTGTTAAACGAATTACGGGTCAAAGTTTAAAGAATGTCGATGTAATTGGTGAAAGAATGTTCCGGGTGAAACTTCAGATGCTCCGTGAAACTTTTTGAGAAAAAGCTCGACCAATTTGTACGCGTGTTAGGTACAGTACAATTTTCGGTACAGGACGAAATTGAGGCAGTTTCAAGTCAGCAATTTCTTCAATTACGTGTAAGCTGAGCACGAACGAAATTGATATGTTTCACAGCTGAATCTGGTTCCTGGTTACAACCTATTAATTCTCAGTTTGGATGAAGAAGAGCGCTGATATTATCGCAGTATTTGAATATCGACATTTTCGACTAGTATCGGCTTATCGAACACGTCATGGTATCTGGAACGTTTGTATTCCAGAATTCCAGAATTTAATTGCATAAAGTCTGCATCTTTAAATCAGTCCCAGAAGCCATTGCGCGATGTGATCAATTCTTCATTCCGTTTCTGTTTAGAAATCAACGTATTATATTTTATTTATTCATATTTATTTATATATTTTATTTATTTATAACGTACTATGTTATATTATATATATATATATATTTTTTTTTAACGTATAACACACTTGTGGTTTCATGATTGAAACATTATATAATATTTTTATCATCGAAACGTCAACTTCGAATATAACGTCTTCGATTGAAGCTCGACTCGTCTGCAAATTTATGTGAAATCAAGCTAATAATAAGTTTAATTTCCCGACGAAAGTCTCTTAGCGTCGAAAGGATTATTTAAAGTTAGACTCGCGAGAATCGAATTTTCCCAGGCGGTCTCGACGCGGCAAAACGAGAAAAATGGAATGCAATTTCAAATTCCGCCCGTTTTTCAAAGGCGAGGTATTCATTTCCGGATTCTGTCACGTGCTCGCGATTTGTTCTTTGTTGTTGGCGTTGCTGAAATACAAGGAAGCTGCAGAAGACAGTCAGCCTATCACAATTCCAACGTTCAACTGAGGAAAAAAGCGCAGAACATCGGCCAACAGTATCGCGTAACCGAACTTCCGAGACAACTACAGTGAATCTTCTGGCAGATCTTTGTCATCGCGTGAATCCTGTTAACTGTAGTGTGCTACTTAAGATTCAGAGACATTTATGACGCCATCCTTTAATGAAGATGGTTTCGAACATATTGAATAAATAGCTATTTTGAGAGGAAAAGGAAAATTAATACAGTTTTTGTATTTTGCGTTTTGTTTCGGAAAATTTGTACAGTTTTTGAATTTCATGTATTCTTTTTCAACGAAGAAACAGATTTTAAATTTTTCAGAAGGTGAAATTGATTCACAAGAGGTATGATTCACGTGTGCATGTATTATGTAAGTAGCACAAGAGTATTTTTGTCAGACGTGAGGTAAATGCAGAGAGAGATACACAGATAAAGGAAAAATATTATCGTGCAATAATTGTAAATATTAAAATATTATTGGGCAAAATTATTATATAATATCATATATAAAATATTATTGGGCAAAATTATTATATAATATCATATATAAAATATTATATTATGTTACATATCACAATTTTTACAAATGAAATATAATATTGTACAATTTTTCTTTTTTAATGTAAATATCTATCATTCTA